AAAAGATCGAGATAGAAATTGGGTTTTTCTTTCTTTTTTTTTTTTTGGGAAAAAAATTGGTTTTTCTTTTGTTGTTGACAATTTGATCGATCAAGTAGTTAATTAACTTAATTAGTCAAGGTACTTGTTAATGGATGTGCATGCTTCATACCAGCTTGAACATTGAAAAAGTTGCAGAAACAATTTTGACTCTAGATCTCCCATAATTAAGTTACATATCTTTAATTAGCTCCTTAATTATAGATATAAGCTGGATTCTTGAAACTTAAAGGATAACATAGAAAAGAGGGTACAGATTGGCTTGCATTGACAAGTCTTGCAGGTTCTAAAGGGCTCATTGCGTTTTCAACTAACTAAGCAGAGATGGCACCAGCTCAGCTATGGACTTTTTCATTCTCCATACAAAATGATTGCAATTCGCTTATTTTGCATATGTAAATAAAAGTAGAGTGAAGAGGGAATGAGTCTAGAATCAAATAGCCAAAGCATCATTCACACCACCTGGAATATATCATAGTGAGAGAAAGGCTACTTTATGGTCTGTTTAATGTAATTATTAGTTTCCTCAGTTGAACAAACACTACTAGACTGTTTGGTGCATGGATTGTCATGGGTATTACAGATTTGAAAAACAGAAAAAAAAAATTGAAGATATCAAGGATCTTATTATTTATTCCTGGTAAAGCCTTCCAATTTGGTGAATAACTTACTTATTCATGATGCAACCCAAAAAAAAAAAAAGAAATAATTTTATTCATAAAAAATTCGATAAGTTTGCGAATTACTTATTCATATCCAGAACTGGGAACACCTTGTCATGAATCATGTGAAGCTACCGTTATTTTTCTTCTTAAAAGTTAAAATTTGAATTGCTATTTTCTGGAGTTTTTATAAAACAAAAAATACTGTAGAGATTTAATGTATGTGAGGTAAAAAATATAATTGAGAAATGTGTCCATGAAAAACATAAAAATTTTTTGGAGAAAAATAACTTTCCAAATAAGGCTTATTTTCTCTTCGCAAAATCCATTGCCGTGATATATAAAATCTTTAATAATTCTCACCGGCCATTGACCTTTTTTATAGCATAAATTTCCGGTTTAGGGTTGAATAAAAGTCTTCAAAAAGCTTTTCCCGGTACATCTTATTTCTCGGGCATGCATATAAAGACAAGTTGACATTGTGCAGCAGACAGTTAAATGAAGATGTATTCTTTTTTTTTTTGACTTAAATGAAGATATTAGTTGGACAAACTCCATCGAACCATCATTGTTCATTTTCAGTTTCGCAAAAGGAATCATATTGTGTCGTTAATCCTTTTTTCTATACTCTTTTTTAAAGAATACAACTAACTCACTAGGGAAGGATCATATTACAAAGGATAAATTATATTTTACCTCCCTGTAGTTTACCTCTTTTTTACATAACCATATAGTTTCAAAAACTATACATAACCCTTTTATAGTTTGGATTAAAGTGTCAAAGTGACAAAAATAGTCACTCGTAACGGCGTCACCTAAAATGTCAAAATTACCCTTATGTAAAATAGAAAATTATGTATTAACCAAGAGGGGTTATGTGTATATTTTAAAAATCATAAGGGGGTTATATGGTAAAGTATTAAAGCATAAGGGGTTATATGGTAAAATATAAAAATCATACGGGATTAATATGTCATGTATTTATAAGGGTAATTTCGACATTTTTAGAAGTTCCGTTACGAGTGACTATTTCCCTCACTTTGACACTTTAATCCAAATCATGAGGGGGTTATGTATAGCTTTTGAAACCATAGGGGAGTTATGTAAAAAAAAGGGTAAACCACAGGGGGGTAAAATGTAATTTACCCTATTACAAACCATCAGAAATTGACACACAAGTTAGAAATTAGAGATTTTGAGTTTTAATTCCCCTACCCATTCCTCGTTAATTTCTTGAATCCTGCCCTCTCCTCTTGAATTTTGTTGAAACAAAATTACAAAAAAAAAGTTAATGATTGAGTGAACCCTAACATATTACTAGACGGAACTCACATACAATGAGACATACCCTCCATGGTCTCTTGATCATGTTGATAATTTTACAGACATATGTGATTACTCCCTCATGTTGATACAATTGTGCAGACATATTTGATAAATTCCTCAATAAGTAATTCGTACATACTAATGATGAAGAAACTGAGGCCCTCATTTTATTGCCTCTGGTCAAACGCTACAGCAGCTTTACAAGGGAATTAACTGATACAATCATGAAATGCAATAACCAGCGCAGGTTGGACCTGGACATTTCGAAATTGATCAAGGAATCTTCTCTTGTTGACAAATTGATCAAATTACAAGGAATCTTCTCTTGTTGACAAATTGATCAAGTTTGAAAGCTGAGTTGGTAATTTGGCCTTTCTTAATTTACGTGCATGCTTCACACCAACTTCAACGTTGAAAAGTAGCAGAGCCAATCTCAAGGCTTTAGATCTCCGTTACCCCTTTTTGGCTCTTTCATGATCTAAACCTCAACATATGCTGCTGGATTCGTGAGTAGTATATAAAATATTGATTTGCTCTCTTTGAGGGTATCCCTTTTTTCTTCTGTTATTGATGAATAATATATAGTGTGCCTCGATCTCCCTGCCATTAAGCATAATCTATATCTAGTGTATGCATGTCTTATTGTACACGCAAAAAGGGACAATAAATATATGGACAGAGACATACAAACAAACATTACACACAGACATAAAAAAGACACTAGATCTACATTATGCTTAAGGGCAGGGGAGAGGCATATTGTAGTCATCAACAACTAAATTTAATTAACCATTTTTCTCTCTTAGGTGGTGTTACAATATCCAGACTTGACGCAGTTAACAGTTGATAATTGGAAATATGTACAGATGTTGGTGGGGTTACAATTCTTTTTCATGTTATTTTTAAAATTATTTTTGAAACTTTACTATATAATTTTTATCTGTTCTTCTAATTTTTAATATCCATTCTTTAAATCTGTTCTTTGATATTTGTGTATGTTTGATCATATATCTTCTGTCATTAGTGCAGATTTTAATGAAATTATAATATTTATTTCAAAAAGGGGTATGTTAGAGTGAATAGAATTAATGGGTCGAATACTTGGATTTAGCCCATTTCTGCATCCAACTCTTCTTTAATCCATTTTTCTTATGGTTTCTTTTTATTTTAACAACTTTTATATCTTATAATACATTTGAATTGTTCCTTTTGTTCATATAAAGTAACTTTACCTCTATATATATATGTATAGAAAATCCACATTCTTTCCATTTGAGAGAGAGAGGGAGAGAACTAGTGATGGATAAAATAATTTATGGCGCATAAAATTCTTTAGAAGATAACTTAATTGTTTAAAAAAAGGTGGTGGAATAATAAATTGAAAGAGCGCAAGCATATGAACTATTCCTAAAGTTTCAACCAAGAAAGTTTTGTGAAAAATGGAACGTGGTATTCTCATGAATGAAAAAAAAGATAGACGAAAGAATTGTTCTGTTGAATGGGATTCCTTCTTAAATATTAACAATACTAAAGGTACTAAAGATAATTGTCATTGTTTTTGTTCGTTTCGTACCAGGTTAGGTTCATACTTGATTGCACAAATTTGTAATGGATCTTCTCTATTCTGCAGATCTGATACTGTAGAATTTTCATTCTAAGTATTTTCTTGTGAGTGAGATTCATCCTTTGACTTAGTTGGAGCAATTGGCTTATACTTGTTTTTTTTTTTTTTTTCATTTTTTATATCAAATATGAACTTTGGAACCTGGTCATGTCCACCACGCTATCACACAACTTTCATTCCTGTGATTCTATAATTCTTGCCTACACATTCCATTATTTTTTCGAGTAATTTTACAAACCTCTCCTAAGGTTTATAACAATTTCAGGCAGCACCCCCTAAATTTAGAAAATTACACATAACCTCCCCTCATTGTGTAAAATGACAAAATAACCTTCATTCATTATTGAATTTAAAGTCTCCATGAAGAGAACTGATGTATTTTAAATTAACTTTAATAAATCCGTCGAAAAAAAAGAAAAGATAAAGAAGAATAAGAGTAATAAAATTTTGTGTTATCATAGACACCCATAACACCCAAACCCGATCTTACTCCATATAGTAGTAAATTGAGAGTAAATAGAAACTTTAGTTTCCTCTGTATGTAGATTCTTATTGAATTAGTAGCCTTTTTTTCGTTGGTCATGCAAGTATCAACATTTTTTTTATGGGATAGGAACAAACTTCTAAAAGAACTTTTTAAAAGCGTGTGAGTAATATTTTGAGTTTAACATCACCAAGGAAATTTGTTTTTGTGGAGGATAATCACCTAATGGCATTTTAGAATTATCAATGGGGATTTTTCACTTACATCAGCAAAGTGAGTCCTCAAGTATTTTTTAAGGGAAGTTTCTATAATTGTTTAAACCTAAAGGGTACTGTCTGTAATCATATAGTTGGTACAAATTCTATAAAGGGTGCATGATCATCAAATGCTGAAGATCTAGAGAATCCACATTATTCCCATTTGAACACCAGAAAATGGGAGGCAAAAGTACTGAAAGGTACAAAATATATATATTGGTACATAAAACTTCTGTAGTTCAAAAAGAAGTGGTAGACTAACAAATTGAAAGTGCAATAATAAAAGTTTGTGAGAATGGAAGAAAGAATTGATTGTTCTGTTGAATGAACTTTCTTTGATAAAGAAAGATTGAAATTATACACAACTCTTAGGTGATCAATGGAAGCAATTCCTGCATTCTTGCATTAAAAAAATTCCAATTTGCTCACGTGTGGGTGCATAAAGAGGAGCCTCCATATTAACAGTGCCTCAAAAAGGAGGACCTGCAGTTGAAGTCCCTACGTCCACACCTGCAAGAAAGTAAAGATTTCGAACCCCTTTCTGGACCAGTTGACAAAAGGCAAAAATTCTTTTGACAAAAGATATCGAACCCCTTTCATAGTCTTCCATGGAGGTAAGTTTCCAAGCAGCATCTTTTCCACTTCTTTCTAAATAGACCTGCTAGGGGGAGTTGAGCGAGGAGAGTCGTTGACTGTTTTCCATTAGTTTGCTAAACTGAGAAGCAAAAGCATTAGTTGATCTTCATTACTGGTAAGCTCCCAATTACCTGACCTAAGGTGGCTGTTTCTTCATTATGGTTGCAAAATTGTTTCCTATATCATTTATTTCTCAAAAATTTCGGTCAAAAAAATGAAAACAATTTTTTTTTTGTGTGTTAATTATAAGTACATCCTTATATTAACCTGCTGTTTCTTGATCAATTTTTTCTTGTAATTTGATAATTCATAGGGCAGCATGGACATGGCCGGCTTCAACAATCAATATATAATCAACTCATGGCCAGATGAACAAGTCGATGATGGATTTTTCGGCATCAAACCTTTTCTTTCCGAGGTTTTCCCCGCAATACCATATTGTAATTCAGAAAGTATTCCGATTCAGATGCCTCAGACTTGCATGAAACAGAAATTCAAGCAGCTTAACGACACCAATTTGAGCCCTTCACACCCTACTGTTGAATCAAGCCAAAAGGGCTCATCTCCATTCTCTACAACTCAATTTATTTCTTTTGGAAAATCAAGTCCATACTCATCAGATGGTGAGAAATTATACGGTAATTATCCTTGTACAACTACAATGAGTTATCGTGAAGTGTTGTATGAAAGTATGAACTCGACGAATAACCCCTCTGATGAGAACCCTGTCATGTCTCAGAAGATGATATTGTTTACAATAGCAGAAGCCCCATAAGGAGAACGCCAATTCAAGCTCAATATCATGTTGCGGCAGAAAGGAAGCGAAGAGAAAAGTTGAGTGACCTCTTCATAGCTCTTTCAAAACTTGTTCCAGGCCTCAAAAAGGTATTCTTAGCTTAAATTTGGTGCATGAAATTTGTCAGTTTGTACATCTGCTCTTTTTTTTTTTGTCCTTCAGTTTACTCAAGAGTGGCTTGATAGATGATCAAACCAGTAAATTTAGCCGCCATCAGAAATACTAAAATTTCAAAACCCCATGAACATGGTATTATCCTGTCAATTGTCATGACTGATGACTGTTACCTTGATAAGGCCATGTAAGTAAAGTGGAACAGACATAAGGCCTTGTTTTGCCTCTACTACTGGAGCTGTAATTCTTCCTCATGTTTTATCTCAACAAATTTCCAGGCCTCAACCTTAGCTAAACAGCCGGTGGGGGATACCATTAGCACATGCATCTTGTATGAATCTTGTATGAACCTTTGTGTTAAGATTTGTAGATTGTTTTGTATGCTTCAAGAAGCTGAAGCCACATTTTAATCATTTGAAAACAGCATATATGGCTAAATTTGATTTTTGAAAGTTAATCTAGTAAATTGATCCCCTGATGGCATGAACTACTGATAACATTTTGACGATATCGAACAAGAAGTTTATTAGCAAATGTTAGTTTATTTGGTGAAATAACATCATTTTATGCATCAAATTCATTTTGTTTCAATTCATCAGCTGGACAAAACTTCTGTCCTTGAAGATGCAACCAAGCACATTGAAGAGCTTCAAGAACGTTTAAAGACTCTAGAGGAAGGGGAAAAGAACAACTCCACAGCACCTAATACCATGGTAGAAAGATGTATCATCTCTACATGCAGTGATAATACTTCTTCCTTCAAAGGCACCACGCTTGAACAAATCCCCGAGATCAAGGTCAAGATCCAAGGCAAAAGCGTGCTTATAAAAATCCTATGCGAGAAAAAATACTATGGATCCATATCAAGTATGTCAACCGAACTCGAGAAGCTACATCTTACCATCCTGGATACCAGAATCTTAAGATTTGGTTCTTGTACACTTGACATCACTCTTAAGGCTCAGGTACTTTCTACATCCTTACTTGAATCCTTTTATGGAACTAATTCTTCGAGGAATTCTAAACTACATGGTTTGCATGCTAGTGTTCTTTCTTCTTTAGTCCTTAATATCCTTGGTTTTCAAGTGAAACATACATTGGATTTAATCCAATCAATCTCTTCTCCTCATCCCCATCCCCCCCCCCCCCCCCCCCCCCCCCCGCGGCGCGGGGGGAGGTATTATGAGATGTTTCACTTTAATCATGCAAAGATTTATATGGTAGCATACTTTTTCTCATTTTTTGTTGATAAATAAATAGTTTGCTGCTCATATTATTTTGGATTGTCTAGTTTTCCATCCGTGGTTTGTAATAATTGTCAATTAGCTATGTCTGCATTGGAAACGGAGTGTGATAGCCAATTGGTCCTCCAAAATTGCCAAAGCTAAAAGTTTGAAAATTTATTATTCAAATTTCTTTGGAAAATGAGTCTTTGTTGCTATAAACTTTTCAGGAATTTTATTATCAATTCATTACTTGCAGAAATTAACCTACCAAATAAAATCCTGTTTTCTGCGATACCATGCAATAACCTCATGCATGAATCATCTCTACTTTCATTTTTGCAGATGGACAGTGCATTCTCCGTAACAGTGGAGGACATCATAGAGCATCTTCAACTTGGCATATTCCAGTTGCAATCGTGACGCTAAACAGGACCATTCATGAAGAATATATTCACTTTAAATTCTCCTAATATTTTTTTTTAATTTCACCATATAGTCTGTCTATAGATCAAGGCCATTTTGCTCATCAGTCACTTGATATTCATGGTGCTTGCAGATGGGTTTTTCAGTTTCTTAAACTTGTTAATTACCATCCCTTTTTGCATGGTTGATCTTAATTTGACCATGTTCAATTTCCCACATGTTCTAAATCTATGGATTAGACCGAGTGAAAATGAGCCTTTTTGGACGTTATAGCGAGTGCTTGACCTTTTTGAAAATTTCCTCCCTCGTGTGTCGTGATTCATGCCTTACCATTAGATTAGACAAAACAATACGTGTTTTCAAATGACTTCTAGAAGGCTTCTTCAGCTGTCGCTGTAATATACTAGCATTTTCTGCAGCTTATTATCTACAATTGATGTAGTGGAATTCTTCCAATTTGATATGATATTCACTGTAACAATTATTACACTTGCACGTATACATATCTCACACATATTGATACCTTAAAGAATTGCGCAGCATTCAGAATTTATTATTGTGAAAATTGTTGAAAACGTCTCTCACGTTTCGTCAAAATAAATTTTTTCGTTCTTCACTTTTAAAATATTAATTTTATGTCCTTTACAAATTTAACTTAGCAAAATTTGGCCCACAATTTAAATTTTCGACCAATTTTTAAACTGAAATCATCACGTGACCCATATGCAATCTTTTTTTTTTTTTAAATACAACTGCCAAATTCCATATTTTTAGTAGTAAAAATGAATATGGATTGGATCATATCCCATTTTTTAAGAAAAAATGAATATAATTCACATCAGATTCTACTTTTTTAGGTGTAAAAATGAATATGGATTGGGTCACTTGCTTGCTTAACAAAAAATGGGATCTAATATTTTTTTCTCCTAAAAAAAACGACCATGTGGGATCACGTGATAAATTCAAGCTAAAAGATGATTGAAAATCTATGTTGGGATCAAAATTTAATCACTTGATTTTATAAGGGACGTAAAGTTACCATTTTAGAAGTGAAAAATGAAAAAATTAATTTGACAAATTGTGATGAACGTTTCGAATGATTTTTCTCTTTATTATTCAATACACATGCATTAGTCCAACCCTTTAGAAATGATGGAAAATGCTACCTATTGGGAACTATAATTGAAAAAAGAAAGACACAAGTGTTGTATATACAATTTCATTTCTTTATTGTGCTACTATATATGACAAGATTTTCACATCCAACTATTTATAATAACAATTTATGGGAAGACATATTGATGGAATGTGAATCTATTGTCAGACGAAGCTGGACTTTAGGTTCTAGATTGGCTGTTTTCACAAGATAATTTTCAAACCATTTTCACATTCTTTCATTTGAAATTCGAGAGTATTTCTTAATCTATTCACTAAATCACAAAAATATGAGAGAGTTTCTTTGGATTGGAGATTATTTAAAAGAAAGATTCATTTACTGATATATTTTTTTGATGTAATGTATTTGAAATAAAAAGTTTCTTGATAAAAAAATATGGTGAAAAATGTACTTAGAAAATCATTAGAAACATTTTTCTTTGAATAATTCCTATCAAACAAACCTCTGCACCCTCAACCAGTTTAGCCCACCGAAATCCATGCTTGTATTTTATAAATAAATTAATCCCGGTCTGGGCTGAGACCTTCTTGAAAAATCTAGAACCGTATTGGGCCTTAACTCCACGACAAATCCATAAATGAACCGACCAACTCAAACACACTGGTGAATTTTTGTGGCCTTTTCCTGTTCTTTCCTTCCAAATAATACTTAGTAACTGAAAAATCAAAAAAAAAAAAAAAAGTGAAAAAGTGATCAGTCTTGACATTTTGATGATGGAGTCATCGGCGCCGTCCAACTTAGCTCCCTTGTCGGAGGAGTCGCCGCCGGCAGAAACCTCCGCCAGAGATTGCAGCAATAATCCTCCTGATCATAACAATATTAACGATGAAGTTCCTTCCGCGTTCTCTTCCGTTCCTGCTCGTCCTCCAATTCAGTCAGTTCTCTCGCTCTATTTTCATTTCAGTTTATTCTAGTCTTACGCATGCAAATTTGCTGTCTTACATGCTTTTCTAAATTCGTTCAGGCTGGATTATGATTTTGATTGAGGATTTTGTTAGTTTAGTTTAAATGCTTGATCATGATTTTAAAATTGAGCTTTCTGTTTTTTCATTTTGAAAATTTTTTGAATTGTTAGGTTTCTGCGTTGTGATCAGTATAGTTTAGATTTCTATTTTTATGCTAGTTCTGAAGAAAGTTTGATATATTTTTGGCTACAGAGACTTCAAATTTGTTTTCGACTGGTTTGAGGTTTCTCTTGGCAATAATCTTTGCTGCCGCGGTAGTTGAACATAGTTTTCGGGGAAGGAAGACGAGATAAAACATATTTGTGATTGAATAATATTTTCTGCTTTAAAGACTTGATTTTGTGACAAAAGTAGACATAATAACTTGTTAATTAAGGACTGGCTTGAAAAGCCTTAAAATCTTGCAAACTTCATAAACATGTTGCTGATCGAGTTAGACTAGATTGCCATCTCTGTTATAACACTTATGTGGCAATGATGAATTAATAACTACAGATGATTGAGTGTTAATTGAAGAAAAAGTTGAGAAGTTTATGTTAAGGGGGATGATGAAGATAGGATATAGGGTGACATTAGGAGAAAAACACCAAAAATTTCTTATTTACTAATTTTAAATATTCTAGTTATGTGCCTAAGAAGATTGGACTGACAGTATTTAGTTGCCATGTATTAAAATCTACTCCCTCTATCAAATTGTTAATTTAATGGTTTGATTTCTGGGATATCTGGGAGTTTGTTCATTTCCTAAAATGGCAATATAATTAATTCCACCTCTTATTGCTAGCCTACTGTTTCACTATATTTTCTGTGACTTGTGGACCAGTCAACTGTGAAATGTTGAAGCATTAACAATCTGATTACCTCTATGTGAGATAAACTACTCTGTGTTTATTACATTATGAAGTTCTACTTATGGTTATATTGTGCAGAAGCTCTCTCTCTCTCTCTCTCCCTCTCGATGGATGTTCTTGTGATCTGCAAATCTGCAGTTGTCCAAGATATTAAGAAGTTTGAAGGGAACAAAGAGAAAGAGGAAACAGTTTAAGTGGATTGTCTATGAGAAGAAGAATGAATTTCTTTTCCTGAAGAAACAAATGACATTTTTGGGCTTTGTTAAAAGTTAAATCATTCCATTTTATTTTAGAAGGTGGGTAACCAGAGATGATGGTGCCTACTTCAACAGGTAATGGTTTCTTGGGGTTGGACGACCTAAAAGTAGTCGACCTAAAAGTGAGTAGTGACTATTGCCATAGAGGTGTACAAACAAAATATATGCTTGAGAGAACCTAAAACCGATTGATGAGTCCCAAAACTTATGAACCAAATGAGCGGTAGCTGTTGAGTTTGTTAATGAGTTTGTAATGGCAAGAATGTCGAATAGATTTGCATAATGTTTCTCTTTCCTGCCCAGCATTTGAACATCCAATTCTGGATCCAAAGTTTTTTGATCTTTTGCTGCAGGACATCTTCTCAAAAATATGCACCTCTAGATTGGGCTGGATATTTTGACCGTGAGGATGACGTTTCCATTCCTGGTTCCAATGATGTCAGTGGTTTTGCTAAACTGTTCTTTAGCTGTTCATTCTCTTTTTTAATTTTGTGAGATCATCATCTGTGTCTTTATGTTTTTTCAGGTCTTTCATGTCTACTTGGCAGGAACACAAGGACCAGTTATCTTTTGTTTGCATGGAGGTGGTTATACTGGGTATGTTTGATTTGATTTTTGTCCAGAATGTTGCCTTTTGCTCTCTCTCTCTGGTGCCTTATTGCTTTTCTGTTAATGTTTTCACTTCTTGATACTATTGCTTTGTTACAAGGGTTCTTCGCTGATATGTGACCCAAATTAGTACATATATGATTTAGCGTGTTGTAGTGGCAAAAACTGCTCAAAATATGAATGGACATGCTGTCTCGAAAAAGCAATACCAGAATTACTCAAGTCTTTTGGTGGAGTAAGAAGTCTCTACAGTTAAAACACAATTTTTAAAAAAATAAAAATAAAAAATAGTGAAATCTGGTCGATCATGTGAAGTAACAGAACATTATGCAGCATTGGTATTATAAGGGACAGAATATCTATGGCTATAGGTTTCCCAACTTCTTCCAAACTGATTCATTAATAGGTTGCTTTATTCATAGAAAATAAAGAAGTAACAGACAACTTTTAGTCCTTTAGATTAGCAGTAATTTTTACCAATGCTGTGTGGAGTTTAGTAATCATTATTAGAGTAAATCAAGAGAGAAAGCCAATTCACAGCTCATTCACTTTTGTCGTCCCTGGCGGATCGAGCCAACTGATGGATGGTTCACCTCTGCCCCCAATGCTTGTTTGGATGCTTCTCCCACATAATAAGCACAGAGCTTGGAGTTTTCCAAGAGGTTATCTTGTATGGCAAACATTTCCTGGTTGATATTTGAGTCTGATGCTGAATGCCATTTAATTTCTGAAGAAAAAGGCTTAAGGAAACACCATTGCTGTAATTGAATAAGAGATTGAGATCCCTTGAAAGGAATACAAATAGATCAGTCAAGTCAATAAGTGCAGATTTAAATCCAAACAATTCACAGTATTCAACAAGAAAATGACTTGGAATCAAGACATCAAACAACAGGAATCTCTTGGTAATTGGATTTAAATTAAATGTTTGTTCATAGGTGCATTTGAGAAGCAACATTTTAGATTGTAATGCTAGATTTCCATCTGCTTTTTATGGTGTTTCTTATTGAGGCAAAATCTTTGGAATTAGATTGTATTTCCATTTCATTGTTTACTAATACCCATATAATAGATGTGAAACATATGGACAAATAACTGCAATGAATTACTTCCGGTCTAAAGCTCTTTGCACTCTATTTAATTAAGCAGATTATCCCAGCCATGGGGATATGCATCCTTTACCCAATATGTGTTGGTTCATGTAAAGCGTTTGAATATTATGTTGTGATGATCCTATTTTGATCATGTCCAATCTCCATTTGACAAAAGGTCCAGTTCTGGCTTACATTGTGGAGTGTGTAATTCAGTGGAAAAAGTTTTGACTATCTCCTTTACCTTATTGTGTATCAATCTTACATCAATAACCGTACATATGTATTGCCTAAATGGCAATTTAAGACATGTTTCTTGAACTACATATGTGAATGCTATGTTTGTCATTAAACATTTGCAAAGATTGATCTAAGATTTTGTGCTGTTAAGTTACCTAATTAAATGTCTCACCTTTAGCCACTAATTTAGAGAAGATTCTCTAATCTTAGGCAATGCATAAATTGAAAAATGTCAATTGTATGAGAATTTAGTTTCATTACATGCTATTGGCTGACTTTTCTATGTTCTAAAAACTTTATACAAGTGGTATGCCAACAAATCAAAAATTGGAAGTTGAAAGACCTAAAGTTCTCCAAAACGTCCCTGTAATTGTAATTGCTGGAATTTTTTGTTAGCGTGGTTACTGACAACAGTATTTCCTTTACCTTGTTTAACTTTTTTCCTGTGTTTCCATTGCGAGAGTATATAGATATATTTTTTTATTTTATTTTCCCAGGCTTTCATTTGCACTGTCTGCAAGTAAAATTAAGGAGAAAGTTCGTGTTGTAGCTATGGACTTCAGAGGACATGGAAAGTCATCCACAGAAAATGAGTTAGATTTGTCTATTGAGGTATAGTCACATGCTTTCAGAAACCAGGATTGAGGATTTTCTCCTTCATCAATGCACGTTATGTTTATAATGAGTTAGGGGGAAATACTGTTTCCAGGCAAATTGTTGGGTCCTTGATTGCTTGCATTGAAGTTGTTTATAATGATTACAGACTCTGTGCAGTGATGTATTAGCTGTGTTGAAGACAATGTATGGAGATTCTCCTCCCGCAATTGTGCTTGTTGGCCACAGGTTATGACCTCTCTCACTAAATTAGTAACTCTATGAATTTGCGTTCTCCTATTAATGTGCCTATGTCTATCTGCTTGGTGTGGAGAGATTGATTGGAAGAAGTTGAATTTATAAACGGGGGTACTAAATAAGGGTATTTATTTACTTATTACGGGGAAAGAAATTTGAAGGAATCTAATCATCAAAAAGAGTGATCAATAAAGAAAAAAAGAAAATGTGTACAGTCTAAATTGATAGCTCTATTTGACTTTCTGATATTCTTATGTCTAACTTAACCAGCCCTTCTATTCCATTTGATTCTTGAATGAGTATTCTCATTTGCAATAAAAGATTCTCTACAAATCTAAGTACCCCCAGCAAAGGCATTTTCTACGCTTTTTTAGCTTCCTAGGAACAGAAAAGCTGATACAATCCATCCAGTTTGAACTTCTTTAGGGGCTACCATCTTGGTCGAGACTGCACAGTGTCTATGATCCCCCTCTCATCCATTTCTATTTTACTTAGCTAACAAAAGGAAGGCAAGAAGGTATTATAGGCGAATTCTTTGTTGTCTCTTAAGAATCGAAGGCAAAAGATTATTCTATTCATGTATAATGAGATTAAAGATAGCAGTAAAAGTATTTTATATTGTTTTTGTTGGATATTGTTGTGAATTGAAACTCATGTTTCTTAAGACCCTCTTTTATTGAAAAAAATTCATCCCTCCCTCATTTGTGTTTTAGGAAGCGTTGTCTGTTATTAATCTGCTGAGGATTTGGCTTTGAATGCCTCGTACAATCTGTTGAAAGCTTAACTTCTTATTAGGAATTGGCATTATGAGAACTACTTGAGCTCTTATTGAAGTTTGTGGGTGCAAAAGCCTGGGGGTATGTGAACCTGCCTTGTCAGGCAATTTCATGAGGTCTTTCTTCTCTTTCTCTTGTGGATGAAGTGCTTTTTATACCTAGAGATTATTACTCGTGCAATTATTGGACAAGGAAAGTATATGTGCCATGAGATAACGTGCAGAGGGGATGAATTGATTTTCTTATGATGAAATAGTTACCACTATTTGGCTCGTGGAGAAGAGGAAATGTTGGTGCAGGGGAGACCTTGATTTTTTGGCTCGATAACAAATTTAGATATAGTTAACAGGTTTGTGAAATTAAGAAAAAATATATGCCACAAGGTCACATGCAGAGAGTGGTAGGTGTTGGATTTATTGCTCTCGTTGCAGGGTCTTAAGTGTTTGAGTAGTTTCAGTGTGTGAAGAGGTATTACCACTTAGGGCAGGTCTAGAAATGAAGTTCTAAGTTTGTGGAGGACATTTTCTTTTGTCATTTGGCTTAGATCAGAAAATTTGCTTCTAGCAGCTGAACTCTGTGGTGGATTGATGTTGCAGATTTTTATCTTAATTATTTTTTATTGTTTAGAGTTGATAACTTTTTACATGTTCAAAGATGCATATGTAGGCATGTGAACTGTTTTTAAGATGAATTTCCCAACCCTATTGGGATCCTCAAGTTTTGAAATGTTTTTTCCTCTTGAAATATGGTACAGCATGGGAGGGTCCGTTGCGGTTCATGTTGCTGCAAGGAAACAGCTACCTACCTTGTGTGGACTTGTTGTAGTGGATGTTGTTGAGGTTGTTTTTTGTGATGCATATTTTTCATCCAAGACACCAAGTTTTAATCTACTCTTTTCACAAAAGTTTCCTACAATCCCAGGGTACAGCAATGGCCTCATTGATTCATATGCAGAAAATTCTTACAAACAGAATGCAGCATTTTCCTACCATTGAGAAAGCGGTACCTGATCCCTTGCTTTTCCTGTCTTCTTTTATCTTCCAATTGTTTCCAGTACATAATAAAAGTTTTTGCTGGTCAATAACTCCTTGCGTTTCCATGTTGATTTACTCTTTTGGGCATTTGTGCACCAACTTCATCAGATGGAATATGATGCTATATGAATTTTTCTTTTTTAGTACAGTTAAGAAAGGTTGAAAACTTAAAAACTACATAATAATCTATAATAGTAAAAGTTGTTCTTCTCATGGTGGCGAAGGGAATTAGGAGATGCTATCATGTGATTGACTTCTTCATGAGCTCTGTTTCCAGACAAAGTATAGGATTTTTTGTTTTGTCTCCAACCCGAAAATAAAATAAGATAAAGTAAAATAAAAAGAAGAAGAAAACAAAATTTTTTTTAAAAATTAGAAGAAAAGGAAAGAAATCAGTAAATTTATGTATTATTCTTCATTCAAGTCAGACTAGAATCCTGATTTGGAGAGAATGGTGAATGAAAAATGTAATTTCCTCATGGATCCACTTTATTTTGTAATTCTGGGGTGAAGAAGATATTCTGCTGATGGATCATCAACTGCTCTGTTATTTCATGAACTGATAAAGAAAAAGCATTATAGATGAGTACATTAGAAGTTGTAGATTTAATCAGTTACATCTTATTGATCAGCAGGGCTCATATAGATCAAGGATGTTGTTTGTTATGTATAACCTAATACAATGGCATGCAATTAGATATTCTGTTGCTATACCAATTTCCTGAATCAATGTATAAGATATGGAGGTTTAAAGTTGCTTGAGGCCAAATCCTTTTATAATGGCAATGAATACTTTAAGTGCGGCCATCTGGGTTTTGCAAAATTTCTCTTTGCATATTGGGTCTTTAAAGTTGAATATCAGTGCGAATTCTTGTTTGCTGCTTGTTTTTCCACTATTTGCTCTTTTGTTAAAGAGAGAGTTTTGATTGCTTGTTGTGAGTATATGGTATGAGGAGCTAAATCATGTAATGTCCACCATTGTTTGATGACAGATGGTCTGTTTTTTCCATATGCATATGGTTTATCTAAACTAATTTCAGGTGCTGGGTCACAATATTCTCCTTACTTTGATTGACATATTCTTGATGGTCTTGTTTCACCACCATTTTCAACTTCGTAATGAAAGCTCTTAGCATCAAGTGTGTGCTTCTAATTTGTCTGTACAATTTTATTTGATAGAATCATGTTGCTTATGTTGTCCTTAAATAGTTAAATTTGTTAACTGCCTGCATCTCCAGTACAGCATTTTGGTTTGGTTCAGATGATTATCTTGTATATCAACTTGTGACTTTTATAGTTTGGTTGTTGTAATGACTAGAAGTTTGAACTTCTTGATAGATTGAATGGAGTGTCAAAGGAGGCTCTTTAAGAAATATAGAGTCAGCACGAGTATCAATTCCTAGTACTCTAATTTACGATGATTCAAAGAGATGGTAAGTGTGCTTGTCATAGTTAGGGTTTTCCCACTTGTTTTCCATTTGATTTGCCTATTCGTTGACAACTAGAATAGGCATTTGTCTACTGAAATGAATGTGTTGTGTACTACTCTATGTTGCTTTTTGTTGTTTCACTTAAAATCTTTTGAACATCTGTTGTGGTGCAGTTATACCTACAGGGCGAAACTGGAGGAAACAGAACAACATTGGAGAGGCTGGTACGTTATTGCTTAGAGGATTTAAGGGGGCTATGTGTGAGAAGAAAAGTCATTCAATTACAGAAAGTGACACTAGGAACTAACTGATATCTTTTTTTTTCTCTCTTTTTTCTTTTTCTCCTCTTTTTTTTAGCATGTGAAAGCAATTTTTAGTTACATATTACATACTTTTCTTTCTCTTAATAGTTTGCTGCTTGGTGATATTTGTATGCTGTGTGAATCACATATCATCCTCTATGAGCATCATTTTGCGACTGCTCTTCCACATTGTTAGGGCTATTTCTTCTGTTGATTTATGCCATCATACTCTTACATTTCTGCTTTTCCTTTTTCCCTGATCTTAGATTTTGAAGTCAGCTATCATGTTAAGGTCATGCTTAAGTTAGTTATTTCATGCATCTTTTTGCAATTAAATTATTGTTATTCCATAAGGAAATATTTAAAGAGTTCTTTTTATGGCTCATTGTGTGATTTTCTATATCACCAGATTGCCAATGCTAGTGTACATGATGGCTTCAAATTTTAATGCTAGAGCGGCTTATTTGCAGATTGTTTGTAGCCTCATAACAATGGGCTAATAGAACATATAGGCACCACATTCTATTATTCTAGATCAGTAATTCTAGATGCATGACCTTCACGTTCTTGTATAAAGAATAAGATCACTATGGAAATCCTAAGCCTGCAGCCCCTATGCTAACCTTTTCAGCTGTTTAATTTCATTTCAGAACAAAAAATGTGATGTAAGGATCTTGGTTTTTGCAATTTTTAATTTCCTGTATAATTTTTCACAGCTCTCTCTCTCTCTCTCTCTCTCTCTCTCTCTCTTTATACTTTGTTTATCTATTTATTTTTGTCTTAGTATCGAATAGAAAGGCTACATGAACGACAAACTGTATCGTCCTTATGTTTCAGGTATGAAGGCCTTTCAGAAAAATTTTTATCAAGCCCTGTACCAAAACTCTTGCTTCTGGCTGGGACAGATAGGCTGGACAGGTTTTTTCTGTTTAAGTCAACAACATTTACAAGATTTAGAGCTGTGCATGATGTTTTGACTTGGGTTACTTCCAAACAGCTCTTTAGAGTTGCATTGTTACGTTCTACTGCCCAAATTCAGAATATCATTCTCCAAAATGTAGGTTTCTAAGAATCTATGGTTGTTTTGTGTCAACTAGCTCTCTGCTTGTTGACTTCCCTGTCTTCTTGCTATTATTTAATATTCCATCTCTCTCTTTGATTTTGGACTGTAGCAAGAAGAAAAGGCAACTGGTTTCCAGTTCAATAAAGGATGGCCTTGTGCGCCCGAATGTCAACTAAATTTTTGATAAGTTGAATTTTTTCGTGGACCACATAAGATTTACCAAATATTGCTTGCCTGTTTACCCATTCCTGAATGCTGTTAACTGTGACCAAGAATATTGGCACTTTTCTTATCCAACAGTGCAACAACCAACCTTGTCTTGCTTGCTCATTCAGCATTCAGTGTGCAAACTGTCAATTTTAGTAAAATTCAGCTTTATTTGAAGAGTCTCTATTCACTTCTTTTCTTCTTAATTGAGGAAAATTGGACATTGCGTGCTAGGATAATTAGTCTTCACTTTAATTGAGATAAAAAGAGATGTATTAAATAGAACAAAGTACATTGCACAAGAAACTTTATATGCATATGGACTATGACCTTAAGCTTGGGTGCCAGGTTGCAGTGTCTTAAATTCTCCATTCCTGCAGAGTATGAAATATACTCCAACTATGCCTTTCATAGCTGTAGACTGTAATCCGAACTGTCTAATGGTAAATCAAAAGCATAAACTTGTTCAGTGTGCTGATACGTTTCGTGTCTCATGTCAGAGCTCTCACAATAGGCCAAATGCAAGGCAAGTTTCAGATGGTGGTAGTTAGACATACAGGCCATGCTATACAGGTATGCTAACTATTTGTGGGAATCTTTTCATTATCTTTCAATTTAATTCTAGATAATCATGGATATTAGTACTTTGAATGCTGCAGGAAGATGTACCTGATGAATTTGCTGATTTTATACTTAATTTTGTTTCTCGGAATCGGATAGGTCCTCGAGGAATTGAGGTTGGTATTCTTATGGAGATGATTCATTAGGAGTTGCATAGAATTTACAAACTGAAGCATGTTAAGTGTTTCTTTGTTAATGTCATTTTTACTTGCAAGAGTACATCCTTATTTCCTGTTATTGTCCAAAAAGATTTGTGATATGCTCAAAGAAGGCGTGGACAAATAGCAAGCAAAGCAGCTCATTCATTCTTTTGTGTTATATATTATATCACTTATTACGGCTCATTTTATCCGGTGAATGACATGCCAACATGATCACGTGTCAGAAGGATAGAGAAAACTTGGAAACAAACCTACATTAGTGATACCAGCAAATAGACGAAGTAGCATGCATCTTTTCTTTGTAGACATTTTCTTGCTTCGGTGGATAGCATACTAACGGTTTGTCAAATCTTTTATTGCAGATTCCAGGAATAAAAAGTTGGAGATCGTAGTCAAATGCAATAAACAACCAAAGCATTTTAGGAGAAGCGCCACCATGATGGTGCTACGGCTGTCAGGTTGCGATTGTACTGGTTGTGTATGTAATGCTTTTGCTAAAAATTTCCAAGAGTCATGTCATGAAGACTTGCTGAAAGTGATTTTAGCTTCCTGAGGTATCACATTGTTAGATTACTGGAAAACAAAGTAGGGTAATGTTAAACTTGCAGGATTATATCCATTGCTGCTTGTTCACTTTAATGACCAAAAAGTTCAAACTCGAATGAAATATCAGTTGAGATTTTTTTGCTCAACTGGTGAGAACATCGTTTTCTTTATTTTGTATTAGTGTGAAATAACCCGTTGTCCCATTTTTTTTTTTTTTTTATCAGAATCTTAATATCTTGAGGCCTTCCTCGGAATTTGAACCCTAAGTATAATCCGATGGTAATTGTCAAAACCCTACTTCTGAACCAGAGCCACTTCCACCATTCTTCTTTATTTCGGACCATACTCTTCAAGAAGGCATTACTATTTCTAGATCATCGCTACAGATAGAAGACTACATCAATTTGTTGCTCTCGATTTCTCCACGAAACTGCCATGGATACTCTTAACAGCCCTGCATTGTTTCAATCACCTCTCACCATTCAGCATATTGCGGCTTAACCAGCTCCGGAACGGTCTTGAGTCTCTTGACTGATTGATGTTAGGATCTAAGCACAGAACAAATAACTATTGACATATTAAGTATAGATTAATTTAATGACGAACAAGTCACAAGTATGAAAGATAACAAAACATACAATATTTAACGTTGTTCGGTTCTATCATTGAACCTACGTTCATGGAGAGAAATTTGTTCTTTATTATAAGAGGAAAACTCTAAATAAGAATACAACTTGAATTAAAAATCGATTCTTGTATACCATCTCTCATCTCCTAAGAACCCTCTCTCACCACCCATGTATAAGGTTACATCTCACCTTTTGTGTGCTCTTATGTGTCTCTTGTATGGTATGTCAACCCACTTATTTATATATAATATTATTTGGCCAAAAAATCAAATAACAACGGGAAACCAATTCTAATTTCTAAACTTACACATAATAGTAAATAGGGATAATTTCGGAAGCCTCCCCTGAGGTCTTGGATAATTTCAAACAGCTCCCCTTTGGTTTCAGAAATTACACCAACATCCCTTACATTCACTGTTTGTGCTTCAAAATAGGCCCAATAGGCTATCATTTCTCTCAAATACCCTAAACTATCCTTTTTACCCAAAAAATTAAAAAGAAAAGAACAAGAGCTTTGCTGAATGTTGATTGCATCCGTTGATTGCCTTCTTCCAAATTAGACTATCATGAAAGTCATGAAATCTTTTCTACCAAAAAAATAAAAGACAAAAATAAGGAATTTTGAAGATTGTGTTCTTTTAAGCAACACTATTAGGAAAATCAAGCAACCACCCCAATTTGAATCAAAACAAATTACAACAACTGTGGGAACCCAAAAAATCATAATCCAATTTATTTCTCGCAACCTGAACAAATCCCGCCACTTGTTGCCAAATTTGATAAAACTCAACCTCAAATTTTACCCAAAACAACAATTCATCAACAATCAACCCCACATTCAAATCCCCTTGCCTCTTTCTCTCATTGCAGCCATTTTTTTTCAGCAAATCATTGTCTAAAACCCAATATCCATCTCTCAAACTTTTGATATTTGACATCACCAAGTTTTTTCACCCATAATCAACCAAACTCGAATAAAATAGATGCAAAATAATCAAACCCACTACACTTAGAATAGGAGAAAAAAGAGAGATGAGCCTAGTCACATTTGCAAAAGACAAGGGGAGATGTAGGGGAAATCAAAAAAGGAGAAGGGAAGGGAATGGAACAAAGCACAAGTAAGGGGTTGATGGACACAAATTGGTCTTGAAGTATAGGGGAAAAGTTGGGGGAGAAAGTGGTTATAGGAAGATGGGCATGGGGAAAGTGAGCAAAGGTAGAATGCAGAAGTATAAAAGCCTAAAACAGAAAATTAGTTGATTTTTTTGTCTTCACTTGGATTTTTGAGCTTCTTTTTTCCCAAAAAAAAAAAAGTCTTTTAAGTATCCTATTAGGGGTAGTAGAGTACTTTTGCACCAATAGAGGAGATATGTGTAATTTTAAAATATTGAGGGGAGCATCCTAAGATTATTAAGAACCTCAAGGGAGGTTTCTGAAATTATCCCTAGTAAATAACTTCTAATTCTAAACTAAATAGGAAATTCCTTGGTTATTACTTCAAGTAACTAAAATCAATTAGAAAACTAGTTACTTTTATACAAAATAAGAAATCTAACTAAAAGAAATTAAGTCAATTTTCTAACAAATCTCCACCTTAGTGAATTTTTTTTTTTAGCAATCATTTGCCTTCAATTACCAAATAATATGGTACCGAACTATACACCCGAATCAATACAGTTCTGATACCAAATTGATTCAATCGGCAAATGAACATGTGTAGTTATTCCAAATCTAACCTCCAATTGACTCGTGAGAAAATGCCTTAATTCACCATCTCCCTTTACAGGATTTTTTCTCACCACCACTTGCAATTCGGAATCCCCTTCTGCGAGCTCTAACCCTAATCATTGACGCAATCAAGTGGTAAAATTACCATACTTTTTCGCATTCTCAAGATTGTCTCGCCACGTGTGGTTTCCAAGACTCCACCTAAAACAAAAATCTCGTAACTGTCAGAGTTTTCTGGCACATGAAAATTAGATCTCTTTGTTTCTTTGGAATGCGTATCACATCACTCAAAGAATATAACCAAAATCTAAAATCTACCCGGATGAAATATCAACCATATGAGAAAGTCTCCACTGATTCACGTTCAAAATCAACATTGGACTCCACCTTTTCCTAACCCTTGAATCATCTGCCTAGATTCACCGATAAGTGTCTCCATGCTTTTTGACTTTCCATCCTTCACCATCAATGCTTTTTGTCAAACCATTAAAATAAGAATACCACTCATTAAATTGTTTAATTAGTAATAGTTACCAATCCACTTGATCTCAATGGTTAACTAGGATCCAATTTTGAACAACTAAATTCCTGATCCAACCATTCAGTTTGTTGGGATCCAAGTGCTTGTGAGCAGTCTAATCTAGCAACCAAACTCTGATATCACTTGTTAGGATTCAAGCACGGAACAAACAACTATTGAGATATCAAGTATACAACAATTTAATGACAAACAAGCCACAAGCATGAAAGATAAACAACACACAATATTTAACGTGGTTCGACTCCACCATTGAGCCTACGTTCACGGAGAGAAACCCGTTCTTTATTATGAGAGGAAAATCCCATACAAGAATACAATTTAAATTCAAATCCAACCCTTGTATACCATCTCTCATCTCCCAAAAACCGTCTCTCACCGCCCATGTATAAAGCTACATGTCACCCTTGTGTTCCTTTGTGTGTTTCTTATACATTATGCCAATCCACCTATTTATAAATAATATTATTTGGCCAAAAAATCAAATAATAACAGGAAATCAATTCTAATTTCTAGACTTACACATAATAGGAATAACTTCTAATTATAAACTAAATAGAAAATTTTTTGACTACTATTTCAAGTAACTAAAATCAATTAGGAAATTAGTTATTTCCACACAAAATAAGAAATATGTCTAAAAAAAATTAAACTAATTTTCTAACAGTTGATATACAGTCATGTTAAAGCACCGATTGGTGGTCTGCTGCCAATTGTCAAGGTCTAGTTACGAGATTCTCGAATAATTGAATTAATATATTATCCGCCATATCGAGCTTAATACTAACCATGTTTTGTAGAAATGAAATCAGAGAAGAATAAGGGCAATTGAGAAGAATTATAGTACATGGATAAGAAAAGTGATATCCTTGCATCCTGATAAGTGCATAGTTTACGTGTTTTTAGTGTGTTTTATTAGTTAGTTTTGGTGTGTTTTAATTAGTTTTATAGTTAATTAACTAAAATTCTAGTGAAAATATGCATTTAGGGGTTTAAGTGTTAAAAATTGCATTTCTATGGATTTTTATGGTGAAAACTTCATATTTTTGTACATTTAATGATTCAATCATCAAATGACATAAATTGAGACAAGAATTGGATGATTGATGATGGTTTTAAGTGATAAAAAGAGAATATGAAGTGCAAGAGATGAAATGCAATCAAGTTCTAAAGAAAAGGAGTTTCACAGCTTTGATATCTTGTGGTATTTTGGCAATATCTTGAGCGACAATGATCGGATTGAGGTGATTCTTATACCATTTTGAAGCTAA